TTCTTCTATCCTCCACCAAATGTATACCCAAAAAATGCATTTACATAAACTTATTTATACTTAACATAATAGTATTTCCATGAATTACAATATCACCCAATTTTATTTTATTTTTTTCAATCTGAGTCTTGTTGCTTTTTCATTTAGTGCATCGGAATCCAAATTTGGTGTCACTGTAACAGGTATCCAAACACACACTAAGACTGGTGCATGAAACTTGTGTAAAATTTTCAATATTACTTAAGTAAGAAGAGACTTTAGTATATATTAAGAATATACCTGATTCTGGGAGGAACTCTGGTATTTATAGGCGAATGTTGTTGGCTGAAGGGATAAACAAGTACCAACTTGTATGAATAGAGATCATTCAGATGCTTGCAATCCTAAGCTAGATCAATTTTAATGATTCTGAGTCTTTCCAGCATTTGATGTGACAGTATATTTGTAAGTACACATTTCAAGTCGTTTGTTCACCATATCAGACATATAAGCATTCAAATTGTAACTTGTAATTTTGAAGAAACATGCTCTTAATTGTACTTCTTTGAAGGCATCTGAAAACAATTATTATGCATATATATTTACATCTAATGAAACTAAGACTAAAATGATAATTCATCGTCCTTTCACCAATTTTCATGGCACATTGTGTTACAGCATGTTCCAAAACTTACTATAGCAGCAAGAGTTTAACCCTTAATGATTTCATACACATACAAAAGAAACAACTGAAGACCCCTCCAAAACTTGAAAATGAAAATCATCCATCCAGACAATGCAGGATGCTAGTTGAAAATAAGGCCATTTACGCCAGGCTTTAAGCTGATCCAAATTCGGCAAACCACTTTCGATGGCGTTCAATGTCACCCTGAGAAACACTTGGTTGAACTTTCTTCAAAGCTTGTTCAAAATCACACATTGCAACAGGGTCCTTGGAAATCTCATCCTTGGACATGTTCTTGATCTCATCACGCGTCTTTCCCGCTATCTTACGCCTCATACCATTCAGAGAAGCATCACGGCACACATTTGTCAAGTCATCTCCACTGTATCCCTCTGTCTGTTTGGCCACTTCATCTATCTTCATATCTGCAGCCACCTGCATGGTGCCACACAACACTACTTATTGTCTTCTTAAATTAACTTCCAATTTCTTTCATTTTGTTTTTGCTCGAGTAAACACTTGAATTCTACTATCTATTCGTATTTCATTCCATAAATCAATCAATCAAAGGCTTTACAATAAAAGATGACAATCAACATAGCATCTGAGTAATATACTATGCCATCCTAACTTGCCTCTACAGTCCTCAAATTGATACGAATCAGCTCCTTACGGCTCTCCAAATTTGGAAGAGGAATGTATATACGCTTTTCCAACCTTCTCCTGCTTTGCATTAACATCAAATTGGAATCACTGAGTAGCACAATAAAAGTATGTATAACTCATGAAGTAAGAAAATGATGCAGAAAAGCAAATAGAGACCTCAGTGCCTCATCTATGTCCCATGGAAAGTTAGTGGCTGCCAAAACCATTACTATCTTACGGGTGCCATCTTCAATTGTGGAACTATTGTTTACACCATCAATCTGAACTAGAAGTTCAGACTTGACCCTTCTGGATGATTCATGCTCCCCAGAAGCCCTGATGAAAATAACTCAACTCAATCAGAGTTCAACCTTTTGAAGGGTGAGGTGAAGGGGCCATGAGTGGGTGAATCTGAAGAATATATACATGGGTCATAATTTCATAAAGAAGTAGATTGACTTACTTACCCCCTAGCATTGCATAGAGAATCAATTTCATCAATGAAAATGGTACTGGGTGCATATGCTCTTGCAAGATCAAACAAGCATCTTACCATGCGCTCGCTCTCTCCACGCCATTTAGAAGCCAACGTAGCAGAGGAAACGTTAAAGAAAGTTGTACCACATTCAGTAGCAACTGCTTTAGCAAGAAGCGTTTTTCCAGTTCCTGGAGGCCCGAACATGAGAACACCTTTCCAGGGTCTCCTTATTCCCTGCAACAACACATACAATACAATGTTGAATTGAACTCCTCATTCTCTGCTTAGACCAACTAAAGAGAATCAAGCAGCATTTCTTTCTAAAATTTCCATCACCTTCATGTATCTGCGTACGTGCATGAATTCATGTTGTCATAATTTCAATTATTACTTGGAATGATAATACCAAAGTTTAATTAATTGTCTTTAGTCCTAGCATTTGAAGTAAATAATTTTTGGTCCTCAAATTTGGAATAAACAATTTTTTAGTATCTTAAATTAAAAAATATATATTTTAATTTTTAAAAATTAGTAAAATATGAATTTAGTCCTTAAACACTAGATTTAAAAAATCAAAATCAATTTTAAAAGATTTATTTTAATCATTCAAATTTATTATTTAGAGATTAAAATCATATTTTTAAAATTTGGAGGGATTATTTTTATTTTTATTTTTATTTAAGGGACTGAAATTAAAATTACTCTGTATTTCAATGATTAAAAACATAATAAAATATCTTATTAAATACAAAATAATCATATAGACATTATAACATGCAAAGTTATCATATAAATACAAAATTAACAAGTAAAGAAAATTAAACAATTAGTGATTCATTGGTACTCAAGTTTATAGAATTAACAATATTTCTTTTTTTAAAAAAGTCTTCAAAGGTATATATGTCAGGCACATTAGTAGTAAATGATAATAAATGATTAAATTTAGAGACTTAAATAAAAGAAAGAATAATTTGAGAGACATTTTTTTTATAGATGGTAAATCTAAAAACTAAAAGAAAAGTAATTGCTAAGTAGGAAATATTCAGGCATCGTTGTGGGGAAGAAGATAATGTAACCTGGAAATATTCAGGCATCCATAAGGGAAGTACAAGTGCTTCTTCTAGAAGCCTTTTTGCTTCACTCAGGCCTGCAACATCGTCCCATCTCACACCAGGAGACCTTTCTAACACATCTCTTTCCAACATTTCCGCCAACTCAGGATCAGGACCTTCATACTCATACTTTTTTGACTTTTTCCCATCCTCACCACCACCATCTCCATGCTACAAATCCATCAATAAACAAATCACATTTCATCTCTTCTGCAATGAATTAACTCTAAATTTTTCCTTTTAACAACTTACTTACAAGTGAATGTGAAGAATCACCTGTCCTGCTCCACTTTCCAGCACCGCCGCCGCCGCCGCCTTTCTTTCCATTGGTGGGTGGTCGGGCCCCAGAGCTAACCCGGCTGGGCTGTACAGCACGAGGAGCGGGCCTGGTAGAGCCTCGGCCCCAAGCCCCGTCCTTTCGAGCAGTGGGCCTGATGGGCTTTCTGGCATCTCGACTGGGCGGTCTCCACACGTCGGGGTCATGATCGTCGATGGAGGAAGCGCGAGGAGAGGTAGTGGGAATGGGATACTCGTCCAACGGTTGAAAAACAAAGGAGGATGATTTTGATCGTGGTCGCGAAGCAGGGTGAGTTTCCTTAAACGCTCTTCTCTCTGCGTCTAGTTGTTTCACCACCTGGGTTTCCTCGCATAGCGCTTTCTTCACGTTCATCCATTTGGCTCTCACTAAAGGGTCGTCGACGGAGTTGAGGTGGTTGTTGATTTGGGCAACGGCGCCGTCGAAGAAGATGGTGGAAGTGTCGTAGAGTCCCTCCGCCGCGTATTCTCTCGCCAATTTAAGGTGCTCTTTCATGCCACTCAGCCAACTCTTCTTCCCACTCATCTTTTTTATTTTCTTTTTTGCACTTCACACCAACAACAATATTCCCTTCTTCATCTCATCTGGGTCCGTTCTTTCATTCTGAGGTCAGCGTCTACACTTTGTCTGTGTGGGAAGGGTTGGGTAGGATCGGATTTGGAATGGTTGGCCTTGGCTGCTGGTAACGGAATGGGACCACCACCCTCCAACAAACTTGCCATTTCCATCCCAATTTTGAACCATCACTATCATCGTCAATTCCTACGCCACCACCTTCCACCAACTCTTTTTCATTTTCTTTACTTTTAACATCATTAATAAATAATACCCGTTGTTATATGATATGTTGTACCGAATGTTAGCTCAAGGTTAAAAAGGGTAGTTTTTCCATCCCATGATTTATGATGTTTGAGTTGGTATATGGGATCAAATAAAAAGTACTGTATCTATTTATTGCTATGCTTGATGCGAATATAATTTTTACATGGTGAGGTTGCTTGAAGTATGCACTGACATTTCCCAAACTGAAGTGATAACAACCAACCAGTTCCAACTACCAATGACCAATGGTGCAAACTGTTTGTTGTTGCAGGAAGTTAACGAATTAGACATAGTAGAATGAGGTAATCGAAATAAAACAAGAGAGACAGTGGAGAACGGAAGTGTCTCTAGGGACAAATTTTAATTACTGTTTGCATCTTCGTTATATGTGTCACATCTTGATAATAGTATAACCTCATATTATGATGAATGTGTTCATAAACTGGGTAGTGCACAGTTAGTATAGATGACACAGCGACAAGAGAAAAAACAAAAGAAAATAATTTATCAAGATCGAACCATTAGCACACACACGTGTGCAGATGGGTGACTAATAAAATGGAAGACAGACAGACACCTTGAGGAGTTAGAAGTTCTAAGACCATAAATCCAGACACAACCACTCTGCTGTAAATCTCTGGTTTGTGACGGATGAATAAAAAAAAAAAATACTCGTATTCTTGCTTGTTCGGTCAGGTTTTATGATAGTTAGATCAATCAGATAAGTTTATATGATAGAAGTGCATGCATGCATTTGAAGCCAATGTTTCGAAATTTAGCAAAATGAAAATAATTAAAATTTGCTATCCCACAAATTAACTGGGTAGAAAGTAAATCCTCCATTTATTCAAATGCATCAGTTGCAAACTTGCTACATTGGCAAGTGAAATTTCAATCTATTGATATCTACTGTTTTTTCCACCATGGAGGCTTGGGAAGGGGATGTTCTATGATTAATTTCAGTTACTGACGCAGTCCATCTCTAACCAATTCTTCTAAGCCTTTCTTCAGTCTCTCTGCAGCAGCTCTGCAATCATTCTCTGTCAAGCCTCCGAAAGAAATTCTAAGATTGCCGGGACAACCACATGCTTTTCCTGGGATTACTGCTATCCCATGCTTGTTAGCTAGCCAGCGAACTACATCAAAATCATCGTAGGCATTTCCATGAGGGAGCTTCGCCCAAAGGTATATGGCACCCTCTCCTCCTTTCACAGAACCCTCTCCAAGAGGGGAGAGAGCTTCTAAAACAATTTCTCTGTTCTTGTCAAGACTTTTTACCCGGTCAACAACCCACTGAGGACCTAGTTCCAGCGAATACAGGGCAAGATACTGCGAGAGTATTGACGCACAGATGGGAATGTTGTCTTGAACTTTGAGAAGTTGTTCAGCAAAGTTTTCTACTTCAGAGGGGTACGCTATCTGCAATAATCAGGTATTAGGACAGACTAGGCAGTGTTGATCCATTAACATTTGCAACTGAAAATGTAACTACTATGTAGCAGAGAAGAAACCGATGAGATAATAGAATAAAAAGTGGAGGAAAGCAGCATAGATATGTGTTCACATTGATACTTGAAAAGAACAGGGATCTTATTTTTCTTGGGGAGGGGGGAACATATAAAAACATTACTGAAGAGGTCATATGCACTATGCATGTTTCTATCTGCTGCAGGTCAGACTAAATAAAGGCAGCAGGTGGCACTTACGTATCCAACCCGCCATCCCATCATTCCATATGCTTTTGAGAATGAGAAAACATTAACAATATGATTTCCCTCGAGACAAGAATGTTTCAGGCCATCGTACATAAAATACCTGCACACAAAATTAATCTGTTTATATACCCTATATTTGAAATATGAACTAGTGACTCGGTCTATATGATTCAGAGACAAGTATAGAATTGTCATAGGTAGTCTTAGTTAGAGAAGACGATTACTGGTAGGATCTCATAATTTGTACACCAGGGGCTGACTACAATAAAGGGAAACAGATTAAACATTTCTTTTAAATGGTAAAGAACAGAAAAACTAGTTAATATGATAATTAGGAATTTTTCTTGAACACATTCTATTAACCAATTAATTAAAATGTTAGCAGAACAACAGAGATACCTTGTTTTTTTTGTTTCTTTTCATAATTAACGAAAATAATGTGATAAATTCTACTAGCACAGCAAGTTTTAAAGGCTTACTCGTATGTATTATCAACAACAAGCCAAGAGCCAGCCTTCTTGCATAGATCTGAAATCCTCTGATCAAATAAGAGAAAATACTCCCTCAGAAAAATTATAAATTCGTTAAAATAATAGCATCATGGTCAATCAACATATTCTTTGGGAATATTATCTGGTGATGTCAAATACAGGCATATTGGCCACAAGAGATTAAAAATGAAGCACATCAAAAATCGTAGTAGCTGTTGACATTCAGAAGGGGGGAGAGAAAAACCTTTAAAAGGGGCTCCGGAATGTAGGTTCCAGTTGGATTGCCAGGATTTACAACAGTAACAAGCTTTGGAGCCGGTTTAGTTTCTGATAATATTCTTTCCAACCAATCTGAAATCAAGATATTTCTCATAAATGGCATTGAACATAGAAATCCAACATCTGAGGAAACTGTAAACTTGGATGAATAATGTCCAACAGACATCAATCAGCCTTCAAATATTACTATTTTGTATATATAAGGGATATCATTGAGTAGTGTTCATCGGTATTAGCATTTTGGACATAGCAATAAGTGAAATTACAGATAGAGGAGTAACATCAGCGAGTTAGTCATTTACAAGAACAAGAAACCAAAAATTCAGTTAGATGATACTAGTTACAACCTAATGCAACATATCATAAAACACTCAACCGACTGGAGTTGCACAAATTTATAAACATTTCAATATACCTTCTGAAAAGTGGAAAGGTTTACAAGTACACAGACCCAATCCATTCAACATTTAACTAATATGCGAACCCCCTGGATGGAGGAAAATATATGCTCTTAAAAAACCAGAGATTTACCTCCCTAGTCCATGCCAGTAAAAATGGACTACAGTAACCAGATCATGCAGCTTCTTACCTGCATCAGGATGAAGTGTGTCTGGGCTACCAGGACCAACTAGTATTTTGGTAACACCAGTCATCTGGAAGGACATGTACGCATTGAAGTAGTAAGGAGCAAACAGAACCACGGAATCATCCGGATCACACAGAGTAAGCACTAGATTCACAAATGCCTGTATTTGTAGGAATAGAATGAGTTACCACATATTTTTGAAATGGGCATAATAATACTGTTGAAAACTCAAACTCAGAAAGATATCAAAATAGCATAAAATTAACAGACAACAAGTCAAGGAAGCTATAAACTGTTGAGCTAATCCAGCCAACATTAAGAGTTACTGTCTCCACAGTCCAAAACCATGCTATTCCTTTCAGACATTTCTCCTGTCAAATGCTTTTTGAGTTTCAGGAAGGAGAAGCAATAAGACTATAATGGTTATAGATAAAACTTTACTTACGAATGCAAGAAAAGCTAAATTTAAATGGGTAAACATAAAGAATTCAAATGAAAGCTGAAATGCTAATACTTCACCTTTTCAGAAACTGTGGTAGCTTTTCTAGGATATAACAAAATAATGAACATAAACAAAAATTACAGGTCGAATATTATTGATAACCTCACCTGATTGGCACCAGCTGTAACCATTACTGAAGATTTGTGCAAATTATTTTCATCACGCAACTACATGAACATGATAAAAGTGAATGAATTAATTCATTGGTCACCGACATCCAGATTTCATATAGAAAAATAATTTATCAGAGCAATAAGATACAAAACACCTTGTAATGAAAGCAATTAAGCCCCTATTTTATTTAGTTATTTTAAATCAAGCAACATCCAAAACATATATGGAGGGAGAGACCAGGATGAATTTCAGCTATATGCAACATAATCACGTGATTATGGAAAGTAAAAACAATGTATGTACTAGAATTTTGAACAGTGAAGGGAAAAAAGAAGAAAAATGACAGATCTATTACAAAATATAAATCAGTTAATGCCTGACTGCTAGGAGAAAACGTTGTTACATCAAGTAAAATAAAGAGATTCAGTAATAGCCAAACAACATTTGTGATATAAACAATTATCGTGACCCAGGTAAGGTTCAGCTGAATCCACCATATTTAAGTTCACCAAAATATCAACATAATGCAATTGGATAAAGCCAGGAGATGAAAGACTATACGAGAAACTAGTAGGTCTATTAATTTAGCTGAGATAACTAATGATCAATATAACTGCAGTGTCAATCTTCGTTTGAGTAAGATTTCAGAATCTACACAGTATAAGATTTCTATTATCCCAAATGATAAATTACAAGCTGTATTGCTGACAATACAGTACTCTGTTATCTACATATAATCAACTTCAAAGGTAGAAGAAAAAAGTGCATATTACTTCATATAAATAATAAAGGTGATCCTTAAACAAAACAAAACAAAACAACTATAAAAAATCATGGAGTAAAATGCTTTGGATTTTCCAATTCAACTGCTGCATATGACATTCAATAGGTTTTTGACCTGGATGCAAGCCCCAAGCTCTGATCAAATGAAGAACCTCAAACAGATAACTAGAGTTTCCAAATTCCCACTAGTACAGAATACAGATTGTACGAAGAAATTATACCATTTACCTTTTTTATTAATGCTGCTCTGAGTTCAGGAATGCCTTCATCATTACCATAACGACTGACTATAGGCTCAGATACAAGTTCTTTCACCTTTTCCAATGCTTCCTTGGGAGGTTGCCAATGAACCACTCCCTACAGTAGATCATTTTAAAAAATCCATTACAATTGCAGCTAAGGAGCAAACAATAATACATAAAAATCAAAGAATCCTAGTGATTAGCAGTGACAGCAATAAAATTTAAAAGCTGATGGGCAAATTTCAGTTGATTATTAAATGCATTGAACCAAAATCAGATGCATAATCAAAACCACATGATCTTCACTTTAGCTCACAATCCTATATGAAAGCTACTTCACACAAATCAGACCCTAAATTCAACTTGAAATTTGCCTTTGGAAATTGAGGTCATGATTAAAATTCAAATTATCTGTTAATCTCATTTCCTGTTTCTCAAAAAAAAAAATGTTGTGACTCAGTCATTTTGTAGATCAAGAAGGAAGCAGACATATAAAACAGTATCCCCAAGCATTTTAAGGCCGTGGCCATAATCATCATTTACAGTTTACTAAAAGGAACATACCCATCTAAACTCTCACCAAAACACATCCCAATTCTTAAATAGTAGTAAATAAAATTGTTCCCATTTCTCAATCTTTCCAAAGCACACCAAACTCTCAAGCAAGTTAAACTAATTTATATAAGACATTGGAAACCCCGTCTCCTCCTCCGAATGCCTCGCAAAAATCACCAATGAGTTAAATTAATTAATATAAACAAGCATTGGAGAGATAAAAAAGACCTGGGCCAAAGACACTGCATTTTTAGTTCCTCGAAGTATTTGCTGCATCTGCAAACACACAGACACCAACAACCTTGGTTATCCAAAACGTGCTATTCTCAAATCAAACCAAACATCATCAGTCCAAAGACCAAACAAACACTCATTGGAAGGGATCAAATTCCAGTGAAGAAAGAAATGGCATGAGAGCGTGTACTGAGTACCTGAACCATAACGGGCATGTCAGTTTCCGAGGCCCTCTTTGAAAGCATCAGGAACGAACTCATCTCTCCCCAATTCTGATCTTGCCCTCGCCAGAAAAAAAAAAAGCCTACCCGTGAACCTACCTAACCAAAAGACACCAACTTTCAAACGCTAACCTTATACCTTTCCGAATTATTACTGAACAAGAATACGTCACCATATATATAAATATATTTAATTTGATAAAAAGCAATAAAACAAAAAGAAAGGGAACTTTTTGATTTACAGAAAAAATTGAAGCTGGTCACGCTTGATGAAAAGGGAGACAAGGCATGAGGCTTTTTTATGTATCTATCTAGTTCAATTACTTTTTGGTGGTTTTCTTTGTTTGACTTTGGGTTGTCAGAATGAATATATTTTGAGCAAAGGAGTGAGTCAGTTTCCACTACTATTGTTACTGCTACATCTACTGATCTGGTCTAGGAGGATCAGATGCCCGCTTTGGAATAAAAAGAAGGATGCAACAAACAATTTCATCCACCCAAATAATTATTCTCTTTCCCTCTGTGCAAAAATTGTCTCTTTCGGTTTTGGGGTAATTATTCAAATCATCGAATGTGAAATACAGTGTATATATTGCAAGAATGATGCAAAGAGGAGAATTTTTCTAACGTGCAAATTGAAGTGTGAAACTGTTTAATGCAGGAGGGGACAGTAATTCCCAGAAATTGAGGGAAAGGGATATAAGAGAAAGAGTTGTTTGTTTGTGTGAGAAGGAAAAGTAAATAAATAAAAGAAGAAGAAAAGAAAGACACGAATCTTCAAACAAAAACAATGTGCATTTTGGATTGCGTGCTTTCCCACTGTCTGGGCCATGTAATGCACATGCGACAAAAATTCAACACTGGTCTTTTAAAACTACGTCGCATCCTATATTTTTCTTAACTTTTTTTTTAAAATAAATTATTATTTTGGTCCTCAAATCAAAGTCTATAATCAGGTCTTAATGCATTTAAAAAAACACTACAAATTAATCTTTAGGTTAAATGAGTCACTAAACGATAAATGAGTTCCACTAAACATAACAATAAAACATAATTATTATGAATAACGCTCTATAATAATTTTATTATGATTAAGTTGACTTTTTTAAGGTCTAAAAACAATACCCACCTAATTTTTTTAAATGGTTGCAAATCACACAATTCAATAAATTCATAGTAAAATTTAATATCAAATTTTACTCTTGTATTAATTATTTTAATATAAAATAATAATGATATTATGAATTATATCTTTATCTCTCTTATCAAAATTAAACAAGTTATTTTGAATTAAATGTTTTTAAAAAAATTAATTATTGAAAAAATATATAAAATTTATTTATTAAATAAATACAAAAAAATTATTGAATAAATAAAAATTATTTAATTTTAAATTAAATATATTATATAAACACATAAAAAAAATGTTTGATTTATTAAAATAATCACATATATTAAAAATTAAAATGTAACAAACTGACTATTTTAATATATCATGAAATTGATAAAATATATTAAATAATATTTAATATTTTAATACTATATGTACTTTCAGAAAAGAAAAAAAAGAAATATATATATATATATATATATATATATATATATATAATATTTGTATGTAGAACTTATCCATTCAAGTTTATATTTTTTAAGCATGATATTCTCAAATTTTATGTACATTATTTATTTGAAACAAATATTTATTTATAACAAAAACAAATTTACTAAAGTTATTTTTGTTTTATTCATGTTATTGTATAATAAATTATTTTTTCTTTATGTTCGAATGAGTAACATGAACTTTACTAGTAAAACATTGAGAAATTGACATAATTTATTTATGTTCACTTGTGTTCTTTATATATTTTGTTACTTTCTAGACAAACATTTTCTAATCATTTTTTTTATTTCTTCCTCTAAAAACTATTTTCTTTCTAAAATTATTGTTGCAATGTCAATAAAATTTCTCTTGTAATTTAGTCTACAAATAATTAATTAAAAATATTATAGATTGAATCTTATAAAAATAAAGGGTCTATTTCTAATTTTAGTCTTATAAATAAAAAATAATTTAAAAAATGTAATATAATAGCATTTCTTTTTCCTGACCACTAAAAACATTAATTAAAATTTTAAAATAAGGATTTAAATTGAGAATACAGCAAAAATTACCTAAAAATACAATAATATCACTTTAATGACATAATATTAAAAAGTCATCCATACAATCCAAAAACAACAAATAGAAAATTTGAAATTATTACATTAATTTGTTTTTTCATACTTTATTATATAAATCAAATTTTTTATTATTTTTATTTGTTTTCATATTGATTTATATGGATAATTATTTAATATTTTATTAGTATTTCATCTTTCAATCCACTTCTTAAGGTAAAATAACATTACATTTGATTCACTTTTGCATATAATGTTATTTAAGATATATTAAAATCTTAGTGTTTATATAGTTTACTATATATTTTTAAAGTCTCTTCATTTTAATCTTTTTACTGAAATGTCTTCACATGACTTACTTAATTTAAACGTTTGACCTCAAATTAAAAAAAAATATGTGACAATATTTTATTTTGTCTCATAATTTGGTAATTTTTTTTTAGTGTTATTGTAAAAAAAAATATAATAAATAATATGTAAATATCTTAGATAGATAAATAATATTTAAGAATTTGTGTAATCAAATTTTCTTTTATTGACAAAAATGTAAGATTCAATATTTTTTTTACTCTAATACTTAAATTAGTATAAAAATTATGAAAGTTCTAATAATAAAGAAAATATGTTTATAAAAAATTTAAAAAGTTTAACTTATATAATTCTTACTTGTATAATAATAAATAATACCTTTATGTATAATTAAATAGTGAAATATATTAATTATATATTATTATAATTAATATATGTTGAATTTGGTACATTTGCATATAATTCTTACCCGTATAATAATAAATAATACCTATTTATTAGGTTTTTATGTATAATTAAATAGTGAGATATATTAATTATATATTATTATAATTAATATATTTTTTATTTTTTTATATTTGGATAAGGCTTGTGATGCTCTAACTCATGTCTTTGACTTTTCTTTAATGGTTTTATTCCCACTTTGTTATATTACATTTTTTTAAATTATATTTATAATAAATTGATTCTAATATTTTTATGTATTTTTTTACATAAATAAATATTTATAATTTGTAATTATTATTAAAAATATATACTTTAATTTATTATATTAATATTAAATATATATAGAGAGAAATATTTAATTATTATTTTACGTAAATATAAATATTTATAATAATAATAATAATATTATTATTATTATTATATTTAAATATTTGATTATATGTATAAATTAATTATTTTTAAATTATTATTTAAAAATATTTGTAAGTATGAAATATATAACTTTAAAAAATTAATAAATTAATTTTTATTTAATTAATTTAAAATAATAAAAATTTTAATTATTAATTTTTTTATTCTTTTAAAATTTAATATATGATAAATAAATTATGTCATAATAAAACTTAATAAAATATAAAATATAAATAAAATAATATTAATTAATATTAAGATAAAATATTTAAAAAAATTAATTTTGTATTTATCATTGAAAAAATTAAAAAAATAACTGTAAAAATTAAAACAATTTAAATAAGTAAAAAAAAATTTAATTAATATAAAAATTTAAAAAAATTAAAAATAAAAATGATAAAATATAAAATAATAATCATATATATAAAATTAAAATGTCAATACTTTATAATTTAAATTTAAATATAAAATTAAAAGAATAAAATAAGTGAAAATTATATCACCTCGTCTTTCCCTTAACTTTTTACTGCAGATAAAATTTAAATCCACCTTCACACTCAATCAACTCAATTTTTTTCTATTATTAAACTCAAGAGATGAATTTTTTTTCTATTATTAAACTCGAGATGAATGGGTGCTCGCCCGAATAAATTTAACTGTGATCGCACCCATTCAAACTGTTGATACGAAAAGAGTTTATGATTTTAGAAATTATTAATAATTAGCAAACATTTCATGCATGATATTTAATAGACTTTTTTAACCCAAAATCAGGAATTAAATTATAAAATTATGTATTCAAACTTTTCTTAGCTCCAAAGATTTAAAAAATCTGGACTAATAAAAAACAATAAAGACTATAAAATTATGTATTCAATATTTTTAGAAATAATTTTTTAGTATAAACAGTATAGATTTACATGTATATAACAGAATGATAAAACTTAAAACACAAATCTCAATAATTAATTAAAGAGATATTAGTTTAGTTTAATTTAATTTAAAAATTCAAAAAATACTGAATCACATGAGTGGTTGCATAAATTTAAGAAAAAATATAAAATATATTTGTATTTAAAGAAAGGGGACTTGAATAGTAGACTTGAATAGATAAAATTGCAGATTTTTTGTTCATAAATTTTTTTATGGTGCTCCTCTTCCAATCTGTTGGCCAAAGAGGTGAAGACTAAGTGGCGTCCAAGCTTTGTGGTGTGTTCTTTGTTGCTAAGTGGAGAGAGAAAGACACATAAAAAAATGGCGACTCTGAATCTGTTCTCTCAGCCATGGCAACCTACAATTTCACCTTCTTTCTGTTGTTCTAATTCAAACAACAACATTTCCCACACTTACCAAAATCATAATAGTATTTCCATCAATTCAAAATTGCATTTCTGTTCCAATTCTCGTCAATTATCTGTTATTTCTCAGTTGTCCTCTCCCTCCTCAAAGTCAGGTACTTTTTCTTCACTTTACAGAATCATCATGGCTCACTTGGCTTCTCCAACTTACAAATTTTCAACCCAGTTAAACAAAATTGTATATTTAGATCAATTACATAAATGGGTGGTATCATACATCATACTATGTTTACTAAAGGGCATTTGAACTGAAAATTTTGGGACAAATTTTAAGCTTGATTGGTAATTTATGCAATTCAAATTCATCCCAGCTGATTGATTATCAGACCTTGCCGTTAAAGCTTCAACTGACTAAATAGTAAACTCTCATCTTTGATCTCTTAGTCAAAATAGGAGCATAGAAAATAGGAGACCTGTATTTGCATCTTTAACTGCTGCATTTGCTGATGCTGCCATTGGAAACTTTTTGTGCATTTCATTTAAATCTTGAATTTACAATTGTAACATTTTCTGCAGGCAGTGGAAGTTCATGGTTGCAAAGCAGTTCCTTTGTAGCTGGCATTGAATACAGGAAGCGTCCTCTACATTCTGTATTTCCCACAAAACCTGCTCAAGTTTCCTCAGTGGAAGACCTCTATGAATTTATTTGCTCGGGACCTTTGCTTGACAAAATAGGCATCACTCAAGACCAGGTGGCTGAGTCCATTGATAACTGGTTACTGTATGGCCGGTACCTATGCAGATTGTTTAAGCTTAATGAATTGTACCTTACAGAGCCTCAAAAGGCTAGGATTTATCACTACTATGTACCAGTCTTTCTCTGGTGTGAACAACAGATCGCGGAGCATCAGTCCAAGTTCAAAGACGGAGAAGAAATACCTCCTTTAGTGGTATGCTATATGAGTGGTTTCCTTCTGTCACTATCTCACACATTATGTTTTCTCTGTTTATTGGTGTATGAAGTTAATTATGGAGGCTTATGTTTAAATTGAGTAATTTTGGGGAAGCTTTTAGTTTTAGCTTTTAGTAATGTTTCAGCCCTATAAACAGCAATAACCTACTTGTAATTTGTGAGTTTGTTGTTATGAAAACATTGTCCTTCTATTTCTTTTCCTTCTAAGATATTGTTTTCAGATGTTTTTCTGCATTGTTCCTTCCATATAACTACAATTTTCTTGATCCTGTTTGACACAGATTGGTTTCAGTGCCCCTCAAGGTTGTGGAAAGACAACCCTTGTCTTTGCTCTTGACTATCTTTTTGAAGTGATTGGCAGGTAGGCTCTGAACTTTGAACAAAATGTTATATTGAATTTATCCTTTGTTTTGATGACTATGTGTATAGGAGTTTAATTGACAAATTGTAGATAAATGCTACAATTTTCAGGAAGTCTGCTACAATATCTATAGATGATTTTTATTTGACGGCTGAAGGTCAGGTATATAGAAGCTGTTATTTGTATCTTCTTTTTCAATGGCTAACCATCTTGCTCTTTTTCTTTTTGGCTGATAAATTGTGTTTGGACTGTAGAATAAACTAAGAGAAGCTAATCCAGGAAATGCACTTCTTGAGGTAATAATTAATGCACATATAAGTACTGAATAGTAAATTATCCAGGGACATTATTATTTATAACAACTAAAATATTTTTTCGTGCTTGGTTTCCTTCTAGTGGCGTGGAAATGCAGGAAGCCATGATCTTGCTTTTTCTGTTGAAACTATGATAACTTTAACTAAATTGACAAGAGAAGGTGTTTCTCTGTACTCAATTTTGTTTTTTCTCCTCCTTATATTGTATTTTTCGTGTAATTTATTTTTATTTGAAGTGTCCAGGTGTGAAAATGAAGCTACCAAGATATGATAAAGTAAGCGCATAGCCTGCATATTCGGATTATTCAAACATTTTTTCAATTTGCAATTGCTAATGGTGAAGTGAATTACCTGTTGATGCAGTCTGCATTCAATGGGAGAGGTGACCGTGCTGATCCTTCAACATGGCCAGAAGTTGAAGGCCCCCTGAACGTAAGAAAATATTCAGTTGTAACTTAAACGACTTCTGATGGGTCATTTCTCTTGGTAAAACATGATCCAGCACAGGCAAAAGAGAAAAAAATGAAGCAATTTGTTGAAATAAGTATGTTAAGCTTTTACTGTCAAAACTTACCCTTTCTCAGTTAAAAAGAAAAATATTTCAACATTAAGATTTTGTAGTTCTGAGGAAGATAATACGATATCCAACATTGATAAACAAAATAGATTTGCTGCTAAAACACTCAGATTATGTATGATACTTAGAAATGTGGTATCATTTGTGCCATGTTTCATCTCATGTCAATATCCTTTCAAAAGTTTTGATGCTTCCATTGTGACACATGGATGGATGTTCTAGGTTGTGTTGTTCGAAGGTTGGATGCTTGGTTTCAAACCCCTTCCAGTTGAAGCAGTAAAGGCTGTTGATCCCCAGGTTAGAATTGGTGAAGTTCCTTTTTTTTTCTTTTTTAAATAATGCGCATGGAGTTTAACATGAAGCATTGCTAATGTATTGAGCTTATTTTTCAGCTAGAAACTGTAAATAAAAACCTTGAAGCTTACTATGATGCATGGGACAAATACATTAAGTCATGGATAGTCATCAAGATTAAGGACCCAAATTGTGTCTTCCAATGGCGCTTGCAGGTAGGTTGTTTTAACATTCTCTTACAGAATTTACAAACTTTTTGTTCAGAATCTGGCTGTAGCATCCATGTATTGGGGTGTTGTAATATGCAGGCTGAGATTGCCATGAGGGAGGCCGGCAATCCTGGAATGACAGATGATGAGGTCTGTTGCTCAAATTGATTTGTTTGAAGTATATGATGAATGATGCATCTTCGTGATAAATTGGTGATGCAATATCTACCTTCGAATGACTAAATAGAGAAATTTTCATGGTTTGTTCTCTAGGTGAGAGATTTTGTTTCACGCTACCTGCCAGCATACTATGCATACCTTCCTACACTTTACTCGGAGGGACCAAACGGATCAGATCCTCAACATCTCCTAACCATTGAAATAGATGAAGGGAGAAACCCCATCCTTGCTGCCATTTGAATGATAGAGCTCTTCTGGTTTTTCAATTCTTTTAGAATTTGAATGGCTATTCAGCATTAATTAGTTGCATCATTAATGAAGCTAAAGTCAACAAATCTGCACTATTTCCCTTGAAATGTATAGAGAATATTTTCATTAATACATAATAACGGCTAATGCTTTCTGGTTGCTGTCGTTCGAATAGATAGAATTACAATGCAAGATTAGTACTCATTGATAGTTAGTGGCGTTTTATTTTTCAAGACTTACTGTTCAGAAAATCAAGGTTGTGATCACTTCAATAATACATACACTATGCGCTGCGGCAATTGATTTATGTAACAGGCATAACGAATAATTTGTTCTTGGAATTAACACAAAAACTAAAGATAATTGAAGTACATGGTACAGAAGATTGTTCCTTAGTGGCTTCTAGAATCATCATTTAATACAAACTTGACAATTGTCTATTGGAAATTGGGCAATTTAGGAACAGCAACAACAGGTGCGTTCCGAGCAGCACCTACAACTCTCATAGCAGCAAAAACAGCAACAGAGTGTATACAAACTGAATCAAATAGTCAATTGATCAGGGATAAAAAGAGAGAATTGTGAAAGTATAAAAAGAAACCCATAGAGCATTGAAAACTAAAGATGTACCCACCAAGCATAGAGGCTTCCCTTATCCTCACGGCCCTTCTGAGCATGATCAAAGTATGATATCTTCTGCTGTGCTGGTGCAGACTGATTCATACTTTAGGAGTGGAGTTGAGTTGAGTTGAGTTGTGAGATGAGATGAGATAGATGAGTTGAGATGTTTCTTGCAACAGTGGTAGATCATATTTATGTGTAAGCTCAAGCACAAAAAGTTGCTTGAACATATTTAAGGCCTCTCCTGCCACTCATTTATTATGGCAGTTAGTAGAAAGAAATTAGTTAGCTTCACTGGCTGAGAAAGTGATGAAACCAATCCCAAAGTGGTGGGAAAGATCATCACATTCCAACAAACACATATCAATCTTATGCTACTTTATAAAGGTACTGTTCTGTTTAGACAGTGGGAAGATGTCATAGTCACTAATTTAAGACTACTCAGAGTTGCTTTGCTGAGAGTTACAAACTAATCCCCTTCAACTATCAAGATCTATGCAAGAATTGCTTAAAATTTTCTATATGTTTTCTTGTATATTGTATATTACATTTTTTGTAAAAAAATCTTAACAAAGAAAAATACTCAGACGATGACAAGGATACTGATTATCACATGATTTATTGTAAGCAATAATTTAATTTGATGATACTAAATTTAATAATAACAATGAGTCACTCGGGAGTTGAAAAGAACAAGCCTTTAATTATAAACATGGAAGCATACCTTCTCCGTGCTGCAATTTATTGTCAACCCTCAAATTGCTCGCCAACCAGTAACTACCCTTCAAACCCATTCATTCAATAAATTAATACGATAAACAAAATTATAAATTTATTTATGTACAAGTTAATTTTAGTATACAAATTTTATTTTACTTTTATTTTATATTTTTTCTCTTTTTGAAGTGATTTTTATCGGTTTTAACCAAAATAGACTTAGAAAGTGTGGATTTTAGATTTAATTCAACATGGTAAAACAAATTTATAAAATAAGGTTTGTATCCATTATAATTTGATGGTTAAATAGTTTTTTTTTTTTCAATTTGATCTTTTTATTATTTGTAATGTCAATTTGATCTCATTTTTTTCTTTAATATGAATCAATTTGGTTCCTTTAGTTAACTTATATAGTAATCAAAACATGGACTTTAGCCGTGTGAATTTATCATCTGCTTTTTATAAAATACATATATATATGGCCCACAAATTGGGTCATCCCACTTGGGCCAATAAAATGTTGGATTACATTTGGTTAAGTCGGATCTGAATTTTCATAACTAAACACATTCGATTTAGTAAACCAATCGGTCAACCATCGTCTAGGTCTGTCTATCTTGACACGATTCGATTGACATTTTTTTTTTTTTTGTTTAAATTGATACTATTTTTTTTTTTATTCTTTTGTCCATTAAGTCATACTTTTTTCTTCTTCTTTATACATCCTCGCATCCTTTCGTTAAGTGATTCTATTGATTTAAAATATCTTGTTTATCTTCGTATGATTACTGAATTTTGATTTTTCTTTTTTAACTTTTTAATAACTGTTTATAATCTTATAAAATATATAATTTTTTTATTTTAATTTCTATAAAATATTTTTTTTATTTGTAAATTTTTAAATCTATTAATACTTATTTTAGGATAGGTAAATGTAATTTATTTTATTGATCCTTTAAAATATTTAATAATACTGTGATAATATAAAAACATATTTTATATTTTTAAAGAGAGAAACAAATAATTCTAGTTACTCTTATTTGAAGATGTCCTAACGTTTCAAAATAATATTGAAGATAATCATTAGCGATAATTTCACAAATAATTTTCCCAAACGATTTTTTTTTTTTTTTTTACATTTAAATAGGAGAGCAACTTTATTAATTGTTCTTAAAAGAAGAAGAAGAAGAATGAAATAGCTTGATCCATAGATTTTGAAACCAGTTTTAATTTATGCATAAACCATATTGGCTAAATATAATTGATGAAGGATAAATCCATTCATTCGAATGAGTTTGTCTCTAAAAGCAACTGAATATTATGAAAATTATGGATGGAAAAAAAAATTACATGATCATTGAATAGATTTAACAACTACAAAATCGGGGCACAACAACTACCAGAAAAGCCAAAATCAACACATTACATTACAATATTGATTACATGGCAGCCTCTCTTAATTATTCATTTATCCATTTTCTCACTAATATAGAGATCATTTCTAGGTTTTTTTAAGTCGAAGCAAAAGTTACTAACTATAGGTGGTGCTAAAGGGGATGTACATCAAGCACCATGCCATGGATACATATTTCATCATACTCAATATTTATTCTTGTACTTCGAAGCTATCCTCAAAAACCTTATGATTATTACACTGATTAATATTTGTTCTTCTAGATTGAACCCGAACATTTTGAACTAGATCTCGGACCTGCAATATTCGTAAACCAGAAAATCAAAATCAAAATCATCGTATAATTATATTACACAAAGGAAAATAAAATAATGAAGGAAAACAACGAACCTAAGCCAATAGCCTCTGAGCTAATCATAAGTCTTATCCTCTTGCATGATTCAACAAACATCCTACAAAAGGAACCAGAGAGGATCTTTAATTTTTAAGAAAGTGATACACACACATACACAAACATGGAAGTGGTGAATACTAAGAAAAGATTATACATAGAACCTACTTCCATGGCACATCCCCGACCAACATCCAGTCACCATCTCGGTCCTCATAGGTGGGCATGTATTCAATCCCATTTCCAGACTCCATGAGTTTTCTCTCGTTCATCAAATGATTATCTGCAACAATGGTTGGCCACATAAAGACCCAATTACCCTCAAGCTTATTAAAGAAAACAAAAAGCATATACACCAACATATATATGATATAGAGTTGATGTTTGTGATTAATACGTACGAATGGCTAAGCCACAAAACATGGTCTCTAAATCCCTCATCAAATGCTCATAACTGTCGTACATTTCAAGATCCACTTTTCTTAGATAAGGAGCTCCATCCACAGCCACCTTCACGAACTTGCAACTCTTCATGGCATTCTTCCTGCTTGCCCTCACCGGCGGCCACCCCACCATTTGTTCCCTGCAACCATCCATCAACACCCAAATTAACCCGCAATCACTATTTCTTGTTTATCACGTGGTGATTGAATTTATTTAGCCAAAAAGAACTGTCTTTTCGTTACTATATACAATTCCAGAGCCACAAAAGAATCAGCAACTAATGAATTGTTTCGTTACCAAGTTTGATTTTAAGATGAAGGAAAAAAAAGAAAACTTTGTACTGTATGGTAGTTTGGTTTCTTACTTGGGTGTTGGGAATTTGGATTTACTTAGAGAATTGGGAAGATGATGAAGATGAACGGTGTCGGAGAAGGGACGTTTGGTAGCAGTTTTTGTACCGGGAAGACCCAGTGTGAGCTCCGTCTCCTTCAAGTTACAATCAACGGCGTCAGCTTCTGACGAGTGGATGCTACTCAGTGATTGCGACGACATTGCTCTCAAACAGTTACAGCGCGGCACAATTTCAACGTTCAAACTTTGGTTTTGAGCCTTTTCCCGTTTTCCTTGTTAGCTGCTATGACCAACTCTTTCGTTTTGTCTTTATGGTTTGAAAGATAGAGAGAGAGAGAAAAGAAAGCAAGGTTTGGTATTTAGGACTCTGTCAGGAGCAGTAGCAGTGATGCTTTGTTGTTTGTTCGGCAACGTGCGAGCTTATATTATGTGCGTGTGACCAGCGACGCTGTTGGACCACCCAAAAGACGACACGTGTTCGTTCAACACCGGCTTTGATTCTTCCACGTATCAATGCAAGAGAGTGTTTAAGCAAAACGTGTGATTCTGATTTGATTGCTTTCATTTTCTTGTTTCTTTCATTCTTCCCTCCTCTCCTCTCTTCTTGCCACCTCATCTCAACAAACACCAACGAACGTAATTAATGACGTAAAATATCCAACACACTAAAATTTACACTTAATTATTTATTTTTACAAATTACAAACATTTTACTTGTAAAACCACACGTATCATGAATTTGGCCGTGTTGCATAATTATACGTCTTTCAATTTATTTTTCTAATATTACAATTAAAAAAAAAAACTATGAGGAGTGAACAGCAACACCACACGTTTACGGCAAGTTTGGTAAAGGGGCAAAAAAGCTTGTGTTGGAGCTGCAATGGTGCTTAAAGATTTTGATTTTATGATGTGTATATAATAGAGGAAGGTGAAAATGGAAAATAAAATAGTGTGGGAACAGGTGGGACCCACATGTTTCAGTTTTAGAAGAAACGGTCAACTCTAAGCGAAGTCCATGTGCACGTAAACAAGTGATAGTTTAAGGTTGATGCCCCACCAAAGCATGTGACATTGTTTGTTTGTCGGTTCCCGCAACCACTCCCAGGGTCTCTTTCCACCATACTTTCTTTAAGAATAAAGATTCATATTACTTATAAGCATTTTTTACTATGTTTAACAATAATATTATAAAAGGAAATTTTTAACTTCTAATAATACTTTTTTATTAATAAAAAAATTAAATCAATCAGGTAGACTTTGTTGTCTTCATACGGTCTCTCTCTCGTAATTACATTTCAATATCCAACATTAGCTTTTGAATTATTCACCTTCTATGATTATTCTCTACGTATAATTATATTTTAATTAAACTGAATAAGAATATTTTTTACTTTTTCTTCTTTAGATTTTCTAGAACCTTATGTAGAGAATAATACTTATACTTTAAATTCCATCTGTTATTCTTTAACAAGAAGACACCTCTAGCTATAATTTTTCTCTAGTCCCATATAATTCACCTTTATTAAAACTATTGTTATATTAACAACTTTCATCACAAATTTCAACTATTTATACTGTCAAATTTAATTATTTAAAAATGTAGAGTTTTTCTCTTAATTTCACCGACTTATGTCATTTATTTAAGTTAATTTTTTTCGTATTTATATCATCATTTTATTATCTTACATTTTTCAGATTTTATTTGAATCAATAGTACTATAAATACACGAGTTACGTTGGACTATATATGTGAAAAAATATTTAACTTATAAGAAAAACTAGTCGTTAAAGTTATTGAATTAACTTATTCAATTAGAAATATTCGATAACTTTAACTAAATAGTACATAAATATAAAAGAACAGATTTATATGCTTATTTTCTATTTTAAAGACAAAACTACATTTCAAAGTGATAATAATAAAAACAAACAGTATCATATCATTATAGAAATTTTACTAAAATAAATTACTTGACATTAAAAGAGATGATAAATTAATGAAAAACTTTATAAAGGAATTGTAATAAAATGAAAAAAATAATATATATATATATATATATATATATATATATATATTATGATTTGTATTTCAATATTATTTAAGTAACATTTAGAAAAATGCTATAGGATAATGAGATAAGTCTGTTGATCAAACAATTTTATTTTAATAGATAAAAATAAATTCATACAAAAAAAATTATAAACTGGATAAATGACCTATGAAAGACACTCTTATTCAAATTTTTCTACATTAAACTCTTCCCTTTCGAATCTTCTCATGTGAGTCTCGTTCTAATCCTTTACTCATAAATGTGATTCAGCTATCATAATTATTCTTTATGTTAGGTTGTTCGAACTTGGACATAAAATTAGGACAATCCTATTTTCCTTTACTTGTATTGTAACATTCTATGAACGTTTAATTGTTTCAAATTTATTTACAAAACTTTAACTTCAATATTTTCTCAAAATAAATAAATAGGTATTATCATGTGCATAATGCATGCCCAATTTTTAATTTTTTTTTTATGTCTTACATTAATGTTGCTACAATATATATAGTATTCCATTGTTTTATTGTTATTGTAAGTGACATGGTTTTTATTTTTACTATCACTTATAATTTGATTAAAGAAAAAAAAATTAATAAACCTCATGTGTATGTTGTTAATTCGGTCATACCAAGAAAAACAATGTTTGTTGCAGTTGGGAAAAGGTTTATTAAAGAGGTAGGTTTGTGTTCACAATGGTCAAAATACTACAACAAGATTTACATACGAAAAGAATGAAAAGGAAAAAGAAAGGAGAAATGAATGATTGAGGAAGAGAAAGTATGGTGCACAATTAGGCAGAGTGAATAATTCATTTGTAAAAAATCATTCATGTTTCGAACAAAATGAGGTATTGGAGAAAGCAATCACAGGCTTTGAATACCGTAGAATTTAGGAACATTCCAAAGTAGCCAAACCTTAACACAATTACAAGATTTGAATTGAATGATTCAGCATTGAATTTAGTTGTTTGGCGTGTAGAATTGGAGAAACTGGGAGACATATTATCTCAAAGAATGGCAGTATACCCCATTTGATGCAGAAGATAGAGTTGGATTTTATCCTTTAGCAATCAATTGAAATAGAAAACAAAAATCGTTGTCCTTGAAAAAACTGAATCAAAGCAAAGAATGACACCTACCATCTATCATCATATTCACTCCAGGTCAAGCACAACTCACACTCTCATCCCGTGTTCTTTCCTAAAGGGGTGCCAATTGATGCCATGGTGGACCCTTTTCTTCTTCTTATAGTCTAATAGTAACACTGCTACTATTTCTGCATCTCTCTTTCACATGGCCTTGCTGCATAAGCTTTATGGTTACCCTAATTTACTATAGACATAGTATGGCCAGAGGCTCAGATCAATGCACTCTTGTCTTGCCAATTACCTAAAAAATACACCTCCCAATTACTTCTTCCCTTCTTCAACCCTAGCTACCTATGCCCCCCTATGTTTTCTATCTTCTTCCTTACTTCTTCTCAGAGCCCACTACTTGTTTCCTATTCCTTTCGAATCTTTCTTTTTTCTCCTCATACTATTCATTTTATTGTTTTCTCACTCTCTCTCTCGTTACACACCTTACCATGCTTCGGATAAATCAAGAGCATCGTGGTTGTTAGCATCATCAGAATTTGTTATTTTCATTGCTCCATACACAAGACTAGTTACATATGTATATAGATAGACTAACGTGTAAATTCTTCATGCTTTGATTCAGGCTATACCGTTTGAATCTTAATGAAACTTTTGTTGTGATTATTTGAGAGAATCACCCTTCAATGCAGAAGCATTTCCAAATTCAAGTTAGATCAAAAGAATAAATCTGTGATGTGTGTACTTTTTGTCAGAAGTATTAAAAGAATATTTCAAATAGTATAATAATAAGTTAATATAATTTGGACTCAATTAAGGAAAGAGAAGAAGGAAAATAAAGAACATAATCATCCAATTTATGCAACTAGTATTAATTTTATACCAACCGTGAATATTGGAGAAAAATAAAAGTATGTTGCAGAGCACGTACACTATTACTAGTAGTACAACGGAAGAGACGAACCCATTCAAAGAATGTGAAATGAAGAGTGATGCGTGCATTGTTGAAACTGAAGGTCCCAAAAATTCTTACATGCATGTGTTTAATTAAGTGGACCATGGTGATTGCAATGAATTGAATAGAAATAAGAAAAAGAAAATTTCTTTAATTGCAAACTAAATTGGTTGCATGGAGACAATTAAGATCCCAAAGTAACATTGATAGCGATGCGTGCGGCATGGAGAGAGGACTCTACTCCTCCATGTGTACATTTTGTTATAAAACGTCACATTTTTTTTTTCTTATTTTCTTTTTTATCAGAAATATTTTATTTCTTTTTCTTTATCGGTACTTGTTATTTTACATTATATATTTTTATTTTATATAAATATTTTTGTCGGTTAGATGAAAAATTGAAGACATAGAATAGTGAAAATAATATAGATAAAAAATATTTATGAAATTAAAAGTGTCCTACAAAAAGGGCAGATATTGGTATTGGTAAAATTAATGTGTATTTTGGATGTTCAGATTCAAGTAAGATTCTGTACCTGTGCTAGGATTAAGCTACAACTCGATTTTCGCGCTCCAATCACGTTCCCTTCATGTGATTCCCTTCTACCAAACCATCGCATTCTCACTTTCAACAACTCTCTACTTTGCAGCAACACTGTTAAATATTTAATTATATCCGCATCGTTCAAGTCTACAAATAACGTCAATATTTAACAAAATTCATGAGAAAAATGAAAAGGGAGAGGCCATCACATAACCAGAATAATAGGTTAATTAAAAGTGCGATTTCGTAGAAAAAAAGAAGAAGATAAATTTAAACTTTCATCACAATTTTACTGTATTTTAGTATAATTTTTACAAAAATCGTTTTCAATTACAAAATTTAATTCTTAAAAGCGTTTGCTAACCAACACTAAAAAATGATAAACTCGATAGCGTATATGATCCAAAAAAAGAAGATGAAAAATGATATAAGAACAACGTTAGAATGAAAATCGTGTTTTGTTTTTCTCACCATTAAAAAAAATAAAAAAGCTAACTCACTTTTTTCTCGTATAAAAGTTATCGCTCTCATATTATATAACAAATGAATTTCACTCCTTAGATTAATTCCACCAAACTAATTATCCAAAAATTTAATTGTGTGAGTGTTTTCAGGTAATTGCTATAATTAATAACGGGTATACACGTTTAAAAAAACCAATAATTTTCTTAATTTTATTTTTTTTGAAACATAAAAATTATTAACGTTTTTTTGTCGAATATTAACAATATTAAAGCTATTTTCTTTAAAATAGTAAAATAAATTATGAACAGTTATTATACAAGGTAAATTATTTAAATGGTTTTACAATAGATATAAAATTAAAAGGAATTAAATAGGAAGCAAAAATGGATGGACAATAAGTTTGGTGTAATGTGCAGCATATTAACAAATATGACAAGACATATACTAAAACGATGCGTTTTCAATTCCCTATTTCATTAAACAACCTCCTGCATATATCATTCATTCTTAGGTCTTATCCTAGACACAAGTCTGGTTCATGCACCATACCATAAAATGTTGCTTCCTCAAATATAATAAAACGACAACACATGAAATTGGATTTGCCTTCAAAACGTGTACGACATCAATTAGAACCCTTCGTATCTATATTCTTCATTTTCTCACGCCTTCTATAAATCCCTTTAAAGACCCTTTTGGTTGCAGATCGAAACCCTTTGCATCTGATCTCTTCATAATCCTCAACCTCTTGCATGACTCAATAAACATTCTGCAAAAGCTCCCACTTTCTATGTCAACAAATATACATAAACTTGAACAATTTTCAAAAGGTGTAAAAGTATCATTTTTTTTATTTCTTTAATTATTTTTCCTTTTTGATATTGGAAAAGTTTATATTCACATGGAATTTGGAACTTTGATCATTATGGGAAAATGTGGCCAACTAATACGATGCTTTTCTCCCTCTTATATTTGGTGTATCCACCACTAAAGGTTTGCCTTTTTTAGGTCAGACCACAATTGATTATTGTCTATCCCCCACCCTTCCCATGTTGATGTGCCCAACATTATAACGAGGGATTCACGCATGTCGGCAATGTATGATCCATGATAATTTTTTGGTAATTTGTTTTTGGTTTGAGATAATGATATTTAGCATACAAATTAAGTAGAACTAATTAATTAGGTCACTCGACAACTTAATCAGCACATGTCTAATCAAGTGCTGTGTTGGGGGACTACAAAATGATTCTGCCAAACTTGTTCTGCGTTCGAATCACGGGACCAATTTGGCTAGTATTTAAATTCGTGGGACTACTTGTTTATTTGACTCATGATTAGATTAGAAAGTAAAGCATGCATGCATCTTGAGACAAAATTGTAATTAGCACGTAATAATCATCATTAATTATAATATATGATACTGATAGAGATAAAGTAGCGAAATTAACGAACTTGCGGAGAACCCAGTTTTCAGACACGGAATCAAAGTTGGTGGTATACGCCATGCAGTGCACCATTAAGTGTGTTGGTGTGGCTTTGAAGATTAGTGGAACACACAACTACCTCTGGTTTACTTTACTCGTATTCACACGCTTATCACTTTTGACTCATGAAACATGAATTCATGCTCCCACCCAAACCAAAAGGAAAAAGTGACATAGTCTGGCTGGTTCATTTCTGTGGGTTACTGGGCTAAACTTGAGTCATAATCACCATCAACATATTTAATCATGAACTAGTTACATTTATAGCTCAATTGGTCTGTTAAACTAGTTTTGTTTAAGGAATAAAAAGATATAATAAAAGAGAGAATAATTTATGAGGAAAGGAGGGCCAAAAGGACTTACTCCCAAGGGACATCTCCAACCAGCATCCAGTCACCATCTTTGTCCTCGTATATGGGAACGTGTTCAGCATTCTCCGCATCCTTCAACGCTTCGCCTGTCAACAATTTTTTTAAACACAATCTTGTCGTTAACATCACTCTTCATTCCCAATTTTCCTTTAACTCAGCTTCTTTTTAATTCTCTTCAAGACTTTTCCATATTAATTTAGGAGACTGTCTAACTTTTGTGCATGACGTCACCTCCAATTTGTCCCTCTATGTCTCCCCTCTAAAGTTTTTTAATTAATTGTACCTATTAATTAAGTAAAAGCTTGTTCAAGGCAGTTCTGGGGAAGAACAATGAAGAATAAAACTTATATATTCTTTCCCCTAAAAATCCTTCTCCTCCTCTTCTAGTGTCTATGTTGATAACCCTATCATAGCACTAACTTTCCATAACTAGCCAGAAACTAAATATCTTGCCCTCTTAATTTCTTAAACCTTAATAACCATGTGGGTATGCAACATACGTAGCTAGAATGAAATTAGTTTAGAAAACAGTAATATGGAAGATAGTTGATATGATCTTACCGATTCCGTAGCAACCGAAGAACTTGTCCAAGGCAAAGGCCAACTCGGAGTAGCCCTTGTGCATAGCTAAATCAATTTTACGCAAGAAAGGAGCACCGTCCATGCTAACTTTGACGTACATTTTGGTTTCATTGACGCTGTTCTTCTTGCGGTAGGAGCACACCGGAGGCCACCCCACGACCTGATTCTTGGTTTCTTTTTTGCGATCTTCTTCTTCAGAGGAGCTGTTTTCACCTTCAATCTCCGAGAAGACCCTCTTCTTGTTCTCCTTCTCGTTGTTCTCCGCACCGGGAAGGCCGAGTCTGAGCTCAGTGATTTCAAGCCCGAGACCTTCTTTGTCCATTTTTAGGAGGAGGGTTGAAAAAGCAAAAGAGGTCGGAAGAAAAGTTTTGGAGTAATTTTGATTGAGGAATGTTGAATTGGTTTGGTGTATGAAGCAGAGAGGTTGTTAAGAGAGTGTGTATATATAAAAAGGTGAATGGAATGAGCGTATGAGGGTAGTGGGAGCAATGACAGGTGAAGTAGGAGATGGTCGGTTAGATCAGAAACAAATGTGGGGACGCAATGTTTCCCCGCAAATACCATTACAGGGCGGCACCATAAGTTGGATATACCATCGGGACATATCCCACCGTTCCTTCTCCCTTCTCATTTCCTCACATTTCATCCTCACCGTCCCATCTGCTGACTGCGAACAACCCATGTGAATTTCTTTTTCTTTTCAACCTTACACAAGCATAGTCTTTTTATACACTCTTATATTTTTAAAATAATTAGCGTTACTAGTAAAAAAAAATTATAATAAGAGAAATTGACGATGAATTATAAAAAATAAAAATAAATTCATGGCCGACTACTTCGTAATATTTCAGTGTGTGTGTTCATTTATGAAATTAAGTGAAAATCTTATAATATAATTTTATTGTTAATTTAAATTATAAATGTTACAAAATCATCTTGTATAATTACATGTTTCACCTAATTATTGTGTGTATAGGTACGAAAATAAGACGATGATGATGAGCGATGCAAAGCCATACTAATGCGTGTGATTTGTGAGAAACATAATCGTGATGATGTAGGGAGCATAATAATGAAAGGGTAGGTCCCTACGCAATTCTCTCTGGATTGAGAACGATCACAGCTAATCATCAGTCAAACTTAACTGTTCCTACGTCAACTCAACACTCGGGGATTAAAAATCACAATCATGTGAACCATTTTAAGGTTAAAGATTCTCACCTTTGAGAGACAACATATGCAATGCAACACTACCTTTTAATTTTTCTTTAAAAAATTACCCCCACATGATGTGTGTCTATCTATTTATAGCAAAACAACACTATTTACTAACCCAGGTTTGTCACTCCCTTAATTAAGGTTGTAGCCATGTAGGGTTTGGGTTATCCTCTCTTAAGCATGGAATCTTAATATTTTGGAGCATTCTAGATATTAACAGACCAATCCAGAGTGCTAAGGAAGATTAGTTTGGTCTAAAAATCTCAATATCTCACCTACTAATTATACCAAGATTTATAATTTCTTATAACGAATCAATATTTTAATCTGAAAGCTATAAGAGATTTTGTATATATGTTTCAATATGGCACTTATTTATTGTAGTTAAACGAATAAATTTTGTCATGGTCCACACATAATTCTTAAGTTAAAATTAGTGGATACGCAGGTATATATATGAATCTTAACTAATTCCAATTAAATATTATAATCAATGCTTGTCTGAAATACTATTAAATATTTGTGAGAATGAAAAAAAGGCAATATGCGGGAAGATATATTGTCTCAACGATGGCGTATTTATGACCGATCAAAGAGACGTCTCGTGTCGTGGTTAGGGTTACGAAAAATCTAAAACTGTTCAAAAGGTATTTTTCGACATTAGTGCATCCTTGTTTAAATCATCAATTATTTCGTTTCAGGGTGGTGATCCCAAAGCTAGATCTATTTTACAGCAAAATGTTTATGGTAAATATATTTTATTAAAAAAATTTGATTAATTTCTTTTAGTATTTTTCTTAACACAATTTTCCATGAAAAAAAATAAAAAAGTTTAAGATTGTGGTGGTAAGTATGTCCAGTGTTTATATGTCTTAAGAGTTGAATATATCTGCCTGATGCATTTAGCGCGTGATTTTGGAAGAATTGATTTTAGGTTTTCCACTTTCGGCAAGTTCTGATGGCATTTTGAGTATGCATGTCTTTCATTTTTGGAATTTCTGGACCACACGCTATTACTACCTTCCAACTTTCAAAGCCTTCTCGGTAAAAGGAAAATAGTAGCAATATATTCCAATGATATATATATATATATAGCTTTGCTACTAAGTAATATAAAATTTTTGAACAAACATATGTTTTACGAATTATAGAATGGAATAAGTATTTTGGATAGGTGTATTTTAAAAATGATAAAAGGAATTGATAGTTTTGATTTATCAATTTATTTTTTATATGTCTCGTCTAGTTTGATTGATTTTAAAAAATATATATTTATATATTAAAATTAAAAATAAAAAAAATTATATTTTTTATCATTAAAATATACAAAAATATATTATAATATTAATAATTTAAATTATAAATATTAATAATTTAAATATAAATTATTAATTATAATATATTTTAATATATAAATATAATAATTTTTTAATTTATCTACTAAAAATATTAACTAATAAAAAAATTATTTATATAATTAAATATATATTTTTAAAGTAGTATATATATAAAAAAATATCGATAGATTGATCTATATTTGTCCGTCTACCCGTTACCAAGATTAAATGAAATCTCTAATCCATATTAATTATCACAGACAAGTCAATCTATCTCGTTAAAGTCATGTTAATTTATTTTATTATCTAATATAAAATAGAATTAGTTGAGAATATATATAAAATTAGACCTAAAAATAATATTTTTTTACTATATATTCGATTCAAATATACTTACATGTCTTACGTTTAAAATTAATGATACTTTATATATATTTTCTTCTTTTTATCTTGAGATGCTTTTAATATAAGATTATGATTGACAAATATTTTAAAATAGATAATATATGGTACATGAAAATTAAGATAAAGACACGTTACAAAGTTTATATATTTTTTATTATTATTAGTAGAATTTAAATCAAGTCAAATATATGTATTGATGAACCAACTACTTACAACTAACAAAAGGTGTATATAATATGATATTTGAAAGGCTAATTGTTATTATTTAAAGAAAATGTCACTCCACAACCGAGCATATGTTTCCCATGGCTTGGACAAGGGCATGGGATTCACAGCATTGCCCCACACAGAGCCACACGTGATGGACTTGTTCCTCACATTGCCCTCATAAATTCTTTACCCTAAATTACCATAATATTAAAATATTAACACAATATAAAAACTTGCATTGCATATCCTTTCTCCTTGGTGGCTAGTAGTATTATTTATTACAGTCAACAACGTTAAACTAAAACTAAAACGAAGACATAGTGGTGTGACACGTGGTGACCCTACGCGTAGAATTAGGTGGGAACATAGTCCAGTAAGACCACAAAATAATGTTGGAAGAAGGAAGCAATGGCAGAGGTTGATGTCTTGTCTTAGATCTGGATTCGCAGTTTTGCAACCAAATCTGTGGTTCATTTGGCAGTTAAAGTAAACCAATTCTTCATCCTTCTCCAAATTCCATTTGTAGAGAGACACACGCACCACCCCTTCGGATTCTTAACTGCCCAACTAACGACAAAAACCATACATTTGGGAACTTATCATGCACCTCACTCACTTAATTAATACACATATCCAACATCAAATTAGACACAAAAACCATCTATTTTAAATTTTTGAAACATCTCTGTATCTAGAAGAGAGTTCAAGTAATAAGAGATTCAATAAAACCAGATTTGAAACCTTAAGAAAATATGAAAAACATGGTGAATTAGTGCACTGTTCAGAACTTGTATAATAAGATATTCCTTTTTCTCTGTTTCTCTTCTTGCTTTGTTAAATTCTCCTAATTTTCACGACAAATAAACATGTTTCTTGCTTTAACCAACACTCTTTAAAGACCTTTTTGTTTTGTGTCTCTGCTTTACTTTTACATATTTCCTAGGGTTTTGATTAATAGCTGACATTGTTCTTCAATAGAAAATCAAGTTTTATTTCCGTAATCTCCACAACAAAAGTCAATATCGAAAGTCCACGCTTACTATTCGGATAAAATTATAATTTAAAATAAAAATAATACGAAAAAAATTAGAAACACTTCATTATAGCAGCAAATTTTGTCCTTCACAGTACATGTTTGAATGAAAGAAATTAACCTTGAAATTATTGTAAAAGTGGACCACTCGAGGACTTTATTTCAGACCTACCAAGTCCATTTCCAGTTGGCCCTTAATTATTCTACATCATCACCAAAACCTAACAACATAACAATTACTGTAATTAACGTCATTAATATCAAAGAAAACAATTATAATGACTTCTCTGCAAATAAGTATGCTAATTGTTCATTCTTCTTTCTTTTATTCATTTTTATTACTATAATGAGTATGGCAAAATACAAAAAAGTAAAATAAAAAATGTACAGTAATATTTTTTTTAGAAATAAAATTAAGTACTTATTAATGATTACTTAATTAATGATTACAATGTCATCCTTGCTTAGTTATATGTTATTGAATTTTAATTATTCTTTATAAATAATGGAATAGTTATGACATTATTCATAATGTAATAAATGTGGGAAAATATCTTAATTGGTAATTTGAAGGTGACTTAAATTTGAAAAAAAAAAAAAAACACGCTTCAAACAAGAACCATTTTTGTTGCTCCAAAAAGTCATGATTGAAATCGATAAACAAGTGGGCCCAGTTATGGGCTTGGGCCTTTATCCACTTGTCATACTGGCACAAGACCCATATTTATCGGGGGGCCCACCATTGGAGACAGTTTTGTGGGTATAAACTGTGCAATGTGTATTCGAACCCTCCATTTCCTTAAGATTTTTGTCCAACGGCCCATCAACACCCACGTGCTGTACATTGTATGTTTTGTTTCTCCAAGTGTCAATGATTTGAGGGGGAAAAACGAACACAGCATCATATTTCATGTAAAATAGAATCCATCAACATCAACCAAAATCTTGTAGTCTCTAATGATTTTATCTTCACTCATTCTTACTGCACCCCATAATTCCTATGAAAGACAACATTATTCTTGTGTTTTTTAGTATTTTTAAGTCTCCTAAATTGATAAATTCAGAAAAAACTCTATATTGATAAATTTGGAATGTATGACTTTCTTTAAGTTCTGGATTATGAAATCCATAACATAATTTTACCAAAGATCAATCTAAAAAATTGATTGAAAGTTAAATCTAAAATAAATTTTCACATGTTTAAGTTCTAAATTACACAATGAGTAACCATTAGGGAAAGATTAATCTATAATATTTTTAAAAAGTTGATGACATGTTATTTTTGAAAAGATCCATCCAGAATAGTTATAGAAGGTTAATTCTAAAACGCTTTTAGAAGATTAATCGCCGAAATATTTATGGATAATTCATTTTGAAATAATATTCAAAAGTTTCAAAAGCCAATCTAAAATACTCTCAAAAAACTTATTCTGAAAAACTAAAAAAAAAAATAGTAAATCTTGACCTCATTTTAGGATTTAATTAGAGTTTAGTGAATCTCGGACAAAAATCAATTCACAAAGTAAATTTTTTTTGTTTGCATTACATAATGAGTATCATGAAATTGCAAATGTTGAATGGTCTTTTATCCTTCCAAGTGTACATTTTTCTAATTAAATAAATATGAAATTCAAAAAGTAAATTTAATTTCTCACAATGAAATATGATCATGAGATATTAAAATTAATTTCAAAGACTTTATTTTAATTTATTTAAAGCTAAACTGAAACTTACAAATAAGGACCAAACTAACCATTTTACCAATTGTAAATTATACCCTTATAAACTACTCATATGACAATTATACAAGTGTAAAACCATAAATTACTCAACAATTTTTCAAAATTTATCTAGCCATAATTAAGTTAGATAATATTTATTGATTAGTTGGAACAAAATTACATAATATGAAAATGAAATAAAAATAAATTTAAGATTCTTTTAAATACTTATCATTATTCAAAATTTAATGATTCTAGAATTGTTTCATATTTTATTAGGTTTATCATTTTTCATAGATTTGGTGTGCCAAAAACTATTATTAATAATAAGGGGAACTATTTTTGCAACACGACTATAATATATTTGTTCTGGAAGGATGGTGTTACAAATAAAGTCTCTACACCATATCTCTCCCAAATTAATGGACAAGTTGGATGTTGGATGATGCTTTATGGGTTCACAATATAACTTATCGAACATTATTAGACATGTCCCTATTTCATGTTGTGTTTGATAAAGTCACATTCTAATGGAGATTGAACATCGTACTTATTAAGCATCAAAGAGTTGTAACTTGACACTTAATGTTAGATAATCAAGTGTGAGTTAAGTCTCACATTAAATAAGAATGAGAAAGTTGGACAACATATAAGAAAGTATGACACATAACTTAATGTCTTAAGGTTTTGGGTTGAAGATGGTGTAATATTCTCTTATATAGTTGATTCATGTCCCATTTGTGAGAAGGCAAACATATGATTAAGAGTAGGTGAAAGATCTTATATTAATAGCTGCAGGCAAACGAGTCCTATTAAGTGGTGACTGGCTCGGTTGAGTATGATTAAGAGTAAGTGAAAGATTTTATGTTAAGAGTTTCAGACAAATGAGTCCCGTTAAGTTGAATGATGGTACAAGTAAGGGTACTACTAGGTATTCATGGTTAAGAAATGCTTCCGCTCGAGAGGGAGGTGTACTAATATGAAAGGGAATCACACTTGAGGGAGAGATGTTGATAATTGAAGTGTGAGTTTGAAGTCTTACATTAGGTAGAAATGAAAAAGTTGAGTAACTTATAAGTGAGAAAGACCCATAACCTAATGCCTTAAAATTTTTGGTTGAGAGTGATGTCAATTCTTATGTGGGTTGGGCTCATGTCTCATTGGTGTTGTTTTCCCCCTGTAAATCACCCTCAAAAGACTCAACAAGTGGTATCAGAGCCAAAGGTTGATCAGTAGTGGGTTAGAGTGATCTTTGTATCGAAAGTCTTCTTGACAGAGTGAGTCAGGTAAGCATGTCCCGTTAATGAACAACGGTATTTGGAAGGGTCACTATTGTGCTCAAGGGAATGTACCAATGTAAAGGGACTCACACTTGAGGGGGAGATTGTTGGATAATCCAAGTGTGAGTTAAGTCTCACATTGAGTAAGAATGAGAAAGTTGAACAACATATAAGGAAGTATGACCCATAACCTAATTCCTTAAGATTTTCCAAGTGTAAGTTAAGTCTCACATTGAATAAGAATGAGAAAGTTGAGTAACATATAAGAAAATATGACCCATAACCTAATGTCTCAAGGTTTTGGATTAAGAGTGATATCAATATCTTATATGGGTTAGACTCATATCTCATTGGTGTTGTCTCTCCACGGTGAATACCCCTCGAAAGACCTTAACACTTAATTAGGCTAAAACAAAGAAAAAACTCAAGTTATAGGAGTTTGATGAGATTCGTCGAGATGCCTATGAGAACTCAAGATGTATAAAGAAAAAGTGAGAAAATTACATGATAATAAGATCTTGAGGAAATAATTCCTTATGGGACAAAAAATGTTATTATTTAAATTTCACTTAAAATTTATTGTCAATAAGTTTCATTCTACATGGGATGAATATTCTATTATTACAAATATTTTTTCCATGGTGCAGTTGAGATCAAAGATGAGAATACAAATTTCCAAAGTTAATGGTTACCAACTTAAGTTATTTCGTGAGAACATACTTATAGGGAAAACCTAAGATTTAATGGATATATCTTTAATGAAGCCAATCTTGGTTGATAAAATGTCTCTTTACGTACTTGAATGACCTTTTTTATTGTTTCTTTTTATTGTTTCTTTTTATTGTTTCTTTTATTATTTTCTTTTATTATTTTCTTTTAATCGTTCCTTATTATTATTTTTATTCTTTCCTATTGTGTTTCTTTTATTGCTTTAATTGTGTTAAACTCACTAGTGCAGAATAGGGCTTTTACGTCACCCAATTGTCGTCGCATGCATGTATATTCGACGTAAATAAAACGCGGTGACAATTTTGTAAATATGAGACTTAAATTTTACGTCGCACATCCCAGTATGCGACGTAAAAAGCCTCTTTTACGTCGCACCTGGGTGGCGCGACGTAAAAGATGGCTTTTTACGTCGCGTGCTGGGATGCACGACGT